TCTCTATTCTTTTCTTGGATGGACTTTTCGGCTTGGCTTTACACTTACTCCTTTTGGCTTGTCGAAATCCCGTTTCAGTTGATCAATTCATTGGATTCATTTTCAGTGAAAGCCTCAATAGGCTTTGTGGTCCATTACTAGTGTTCCCCTCCTGGTCAAAGGGGAAATTACTGCTATTTGGCAACTACGCTTCTTCAAGTCTCATCTAGGGCTCTCAAGGAGCACCACCTTCTTATTGTTATCTAAAAAAAAAAGACATTTCTCTGTCAGTGGGCTCTACTTACTTTTACACCTTCTGCGGGCCTGTTTTTCCATCTATTTGAAATCCTGTCTTGTGTACCGTTGTACCGTCTTGTGTTGATAATGAGACCTTATACGCGCCTCACCTCCCCATCCCACAAGGGGCTTTCCAAAGGCCTTCTTCTCAATAGAAAAAGTTTTTCATATCATCTAGCGCCTCCTCTGAATAAAAGATCTGACTTCAATCTGCTTAAGAGGTTCATGAAATCTTATAGTGTTCCAAGAAGCTATGTTATACATGAGGAAGATACTTTTTGATTCTTGGACATGCCCTTGACCAGACTTCCCATTGCTTCTACCATTTTACCTTTCAAACTTTTAGACGACTTAAGATCAGACTTCCCTGCTAAGGCAGATGGGTCATCCTCAAAATCCATCTCCTGACAAGAATCTTATATCATAGAGTATAGATCCCCTTTACTACTACTACCCTGCACTGTAGGTGTAGAGATAAGACAATAGCAGTATCCTCTTGCACTACAGTAGAAATACCGAGCCCGGACCATTCTTCTCTTTTTCTAGTTAGCGTCTGAAACAAAACAGCTTTTTCTCTGACTTCTGTGAGATTGGACCCGAAAAAGCCTATTCTATACCAGCTGATGACAGCTCGAATTCAAAGCGGAAAACAATTTCATTGCTTGAATGGCATCGGTATTATCCGTCAAATCCAAACAAAAACTGTCCTTTCGTGGATTTCCTATTCTATTATTCCCACTTCCTCAATGAGAGACACTTGGGGATGAAGATCTCAATCCTTCAATCTCGCTCTTTCCCCTATTCTATCTTAAAGGCCTCTCTGATCAATCGTAGAAAACCTACCTACTGTTTGAGAGAGAGGAGAGTAAAACGACTCCCAATTCATATCTATTTCAATGAATAGGGACTGTACCTGCTCGAGAGAATGAAATGGAAACCTACATCGAAAGACTGAAGTTGGATTGGGAACAGAACATGCCTAGCAATGGAAGAAATGTAATCACCGTCAATGCAAGCAATCTATGAAGTAAGGTAGCTCTATCTTCTCTGGGGGAGGAATGAATAGGTAGATCAATCAGTAGAGTCTTACCCGAACCCACTCACTGAACTATTCGCCAGTAGGTATGGGTAGGACCTCTCCTCTCATTGCTCATGCTTCGCCAGCACTCAATAAGGACCACAAAGTGCATTACTAATGACCACTTGAGAAGATCCCTTGCCTCTGCTGGCTCTATCAACCGAATCATCCCTATGATGGGGTATGTATTTCAGTCCGTCCCTACTAAAGCGGCTTAGGCGTCGCCACGGATAGGGCATCAAGGTTTCATTCAGTCCAGTTAACCACTCCTATAATTGGCTTCCCGCATCCTCAGGGGGCCGCTCGGACGAAGAACCGGCAAATCGAGTATGGAATTAGAGCTCGGGTGGGGCATCAACCACAGCACAGGTTGCGGACCTATCGAGATGCTTCCTTGCAGAACCGCTCTAACTCAATAGAGTGAGTGGGAAACCTTGTAAACGCGAGCAGGAGAATAGAGATCGGTCTGTCTTGTCTTAGACTAGCCCTACTCCATCCATCTTGGCTATCTTGAGCTTATGAATAAGCTTGGGGCTACTTTTCATTTTCTGCTTACTATTACTACTAGGGCTTCCAGCACTAATTCCTACGCTTAATCGGGTCTCATAGCCCCTGTGACTTGACTCATGTAAAGATAGGGTCCCCTCCTAACCAAGAAGCACAAAATTCAGTGTTGTTGACATTCCGCTTGGAATATGATTACAGGAAAATGTCGACTGGGAAGCTGATCTTTTCTTTTGGAACTGGCTTCAACCTTGCTCTTGACCGAACTCACCTTGCCGACTGTAGACCACGAAGTTCTAGCTGAAACCAGTACTTGAATTCAATTTGGCCTCTGAGTCTGAATTCCCCTCGTTGAAGAGAAAAGCCGTCGAAACCCCTGTTCTGTTGTTGCCAAGTCTGTTGCTGTTATGTTAGCTCTGTTGCTACTCGTCCTGTTGTTGTTGCAAACACCAAGATTGAACCATCTCTGAAGTTGAAATCTGTCATCACTGCTGTTGAACCAATCCAATCCGAAGTTCTTAAACCCAATGACCAGTTTTTCTCTGCGCCCACAGTGTTTGAGATAGGTTCTTCCTCTAGTGGGGCTCCTCTGACTAAGACCCAGAGGAGAAAGAAGAATAGAAGGATAAGGAAGATCCACGAGAGACTAAGCAGAGAAAGGGAATTAGCTGAAATTGAGTTTGTTGGTGCGGATGGCCAGTATGTCTTACCCGAGACCTCTTCCCTCTTGAGGGGTAGTAGGTTTCATCCCCTCTCAGCTGCCCAAGGAGAGGAAGATGTGCGGAAGATAGCCAATTCGCCACCCCGTCCATTTCAGTAGGAATCTGAACCCGCAAGAAAGAAGAAGTCCCCGTTTTCTGGTGTTCGGGCTGTGATTCAACGAATGGCTAGTAAAGAAGGACGTACTGCAGCTGAAGTTTTCAGGCAAATGGGTTGTGCAGTTTCTGAGAACGTCAAGTCTAAGATTTTCAGGAGTGAGCGAACTAAGACTAAAGTGTTAGTTCAAGCAACACAGAAGGATAGAAGGAAGTATGTTGACCAATCTGCTACCTATGCTCAAGTTGACCGATATGAGAGACGTCCTAAGCGGCACAACTCTAAGAGGTCTGATGAAATTGTGCTCACTGGATCTGGACAGTCGAGGCAGGTGCACACACAAGCGCAGTCGGTGCATCAATCACACCGCTCTTGACCACCTTCTCCTGTCCAGGGCAAAAGATTTGATTCTCAGATACGTACCTGAGATACAAAGTCTTCCCCGTATTACTTTTGTACCTACATGGAAGTCTTTACCTAACACACGACTTAGTAATGATGATTTGAGTCGTGATGCTGCTCGTAAGGGAATGAAGGAGGGTTACATCTATCTTTTCTTGTTTCTTTTATGAGTTGGCTGCCTATGCGCATCTGTCCCGTGTGATTGTTCACATTGGAGAACAGACACCGTCTGGGTTGGCGATTCGTTACGCATTTTGCGAGATTCATTCATCTTTGTGTATACCCTGATTTGGAACATTATCGTTCCACAGTTTTACCTCAGATTGATCCTATCGCGACTGCTGTAGCAAATCCGTGTGCTGGTAGACTTTCTCAGTGAGGATCCAAGCGAAGCGCTATAGGTCACTATATTAATCAAAGGATTCTTTATCCAGTCCATGATTGGTTAATGAAAGTCTTGCAATTCTTACCTATGGATGGTACTTTTGACCAAGTGGCTCCGATTTTACGATGAAGAGGTCATCATCTCTGTTACAGTTTGGATTTCTCCTATGCAACAGATAGGTTTCCTCCCTCTTCTTATATTATCTTCCACTTTTCAGGTGATGTTGGTCATATTCGTCTGCAGTCGTAAACTCCGCTTTAGCAACTAACATTTTGGATGGAAACCGAATAGGTCGACCAAGATCCCATCCCAAGGTGGTATTCCTTGCTGGGCAACCATTAGGTTACTTATCATCCTGGCCTCTCTTTGCCTTCGCACACCATTTCATTATATGGTATGCGGCCGAGAAGGTGTATCCTGGGACTGATTTTGACAAGTATGCTGTTCTTGGTGTTGGTCGATCCACTCGTTGCTAAAGAGTATGTCTATATTATCTCAGAGGTACTTCAGGTGAAGATATCTTCTTCTAAAAAATCTTGAATTTCTTCTTCTGGTGCTATTGAGTTCGCTAAACGTTTCTTTGTCAGGAATATAGGGAAAGATCTCTCGTTCTTGTCATTGAATGCGTTTCTTAACGTCCATCATCCTTATGGTTGTATGGGTTTAGGATATTCTAGAAAGAGGTTTACAACTCTTTGTAGGATACATGGTGGTTCTTTCCGAGTATTATCTCGTGTAAGATCACCATTAGCATTTTACTTTCTACTGTGAAGGAGAGGAGCCGTTAGGCCACTCGACTGAAAGGAGAGGAACGAAGTACTCGAGCAAAGCGAGAGGAACAACCTCTATCCCTGCAGAGGGCCTTTGCAGTACTCCCGGCTGACACTGCAGGGGCCAGTTTCTAGTCCTGGTTCACACTACTGACGAAAGTCATCGTTAGGTGCGCTCGCGAATACGTCGTATTGGTATGTTCACATTCAAGTTTGGATCAAGGTGCGTAGCAAAAGAGAAAAAAAAACGACTCCTGGAACACCGGTCATCCTTTCCTGAATCTGAGCTCTTCTCCTTCTTATTCTTACTTCACTTGACCGGGCCGGAAAAGTGACACCGTCACGTCTCAGGGTCGTACGCCTGGAACAAGAAGGTTCGTCGTACAATTTTGGCGATGACGACCTCTCCCTGTTTGTCTTTCCACTTCCGTCGTTCAGGAAAAACACTTCAATTTTTTTGAGTCCCGGCCCGGGTTTTCCCCACTAACCAATTACGTTACGACCACAGAACAAACTTGGTTGACGAACATGGTTTATGCGCCGCTAATGTAGCGGCTTGTCGAGCATTTGACAAACTCACACCATCCATTTCAAATGAGATTTGTCCCGTGGACACACGAGCAATCCAACCCGTAGGATTTCCTTTTCCTCTTCCCATTCTCACTTCTGCAGGTTTCCCCGTAATAGGAAGATCTGCGAGAACTCTGACCCATATCTTCCCATTTCTTCGGAATTGTCCGCTCATAGCACGATGGAATTGTCCGATTATAGCCCGACGCGCTGCTTCAATGGCTCGATATGAAAGACGACCAGCTCTACAACTTTTGGTGCCATATCTTCCAAAACCAAGTTGTGTACCGTCCGGTTCGCGACCCCTACTACATCTGCCTTTACGATATTTACTAAATTTCGTACGTTTCGGATATAGCACGTCCCTTCTGATTTTTACTGTATGAGATCCGCACTTTGACACCTGAAATTCCGTAACGAGTAGATACTTCCGCAGGAGCATAATCTATTTTCTGGTGAAATACATTACGAGATGTTTTTCCATACTTTCCGCATTCAGTTCTAGCTATTTCCGCACCTCCTGATCGACCTGAACAACAAATACGTATCCCCTCAACCCCTTGAGGCATTCTTAATGGAATATCCTGAACTATTTGACTAAAAATTGAACGAAATGAGATTTGATTGTTCCTCGGTTGAAAAGAGATGTCTTGAGCAATCAGAGAAGCACTTTGATAAACAGATTTGATCTTTACCGACTCCATTAAGGTATTCGTTTTTGTTCTATTAGACAAAAAAGATCGCATTTTTTGCACTTTTCGTTCAAATAAGAGTTGTAACCGTACGGAATTCTTCTGTTTCTCAGTATGATCTCTATCATCATCTCAATTCTCTTTTGAAATTCTCCTATCCCACCTAGGTCTATGAATTTCTCTATCAATTCTATTACCTTATCCTGACCCATGAGGTTCCAACATTTGATCCTTAATTGACCCTGGAGTTGTTCCCGGGCATACTCCAAAAAAAGGTTATTAGAAACCCCAACCCCATCCCTTGGAAAGAAAAAGGTAGCACCGAAGAAAGGAAAAAGCGAGATGGTTGTTTTTGTTGTTCCCGC